CTACTGACTGCTATTAAGCCACATACATTCTTTCCTTACTTATTTCACTGTAAATCTAGATCTTTCCCATTAATTTGGTCAAAACTGAAACCATAACTCCACAAGATGGTAAATATAGTTTTAGACAATTCAGCAATAGGTCAGAAATAACATACTGAGGTGACACGAAGTGTTCAACTACTATAAATTCTCTAGGTAGAACCATATTTGAAAACAGTGAGGATGTCATTTTTGCTTTACCGAGAAAGGTATAATCTATTCTCCTATGGCCATTATAAAATCAGCAACCACTTTTGTTTTCTGATTAAATACAAGAAATTATGATCATTTAGTTATGCTCAATCTAGATAAAATATACTTCTGGGTGATCTACAGCCCTGGAGAAAATTACCATTTTAGTCCTCATTTCTCTTATTTCTCACATCTCCTTTCAAGCTGGTGTGATATAACCTCTGAGAGGGACACTATAATAATGGTTTGTCTAGATCCTGCCCTATCAGAAGTTATCAAAAATAAGTAAAAAATTTCCCAACCAAAAAAAACAAATTAAAGATTATGACAACCCTTCACCTTTCTTCCTCAATTCCTAAATTTAAGAGTTACTGATCTTGTAAAAATAATAGTGCAAAGGTCTCAATTCCTATCAAGGAGTTTTCTGATATCCTGAAGTATTTGGCTGGAATCTTTCTTGTGTAATTACTTAAAAGCCAGATCTAGTCTAACCAAGTCACTGAGAGTGTCTCTAGGGTCAGTAGGAAGAAAAAGGTACCTCCAGAGGGCAATCCACCCTATAGACACTTCTTTTAGAATGGAACAAATCACCCTCTGGTTGTGCCTTTCTCTCATCACTCCCATTAGAGGGGATGAATAGAGTTTTCTTGAGGGGATACCTCATTTATGGATGACTCAGGTTTGGTAATATGGATCCCAGTCTTTGTACCTAAAGGCTATGGAGATTAGTGGTGGTAAAGCAGAAAACAATGTGTAGACTCCGTTGTGTTTCAAATATCTAGAAAGAAAGCCTAGACTGTCTACTTTTCCCCAGCATAAACATGATAACTGCTGGGCCCCAATAAATTAAAATGCTATGACAAAGCCATCCCACTCACCCTTTTCCTCCCCTCCACATTACATGAACATTACACAGATTTAAGTAGTGCTCTCCTTAAGGAAGCAAATGGTGAAAGGTGCTGAATACCTACAACTTTGATACAACTCATCAGGTTAAACTCTTGAGATCCTTATACAGTTTATTCATGCAAATTCTAGTGTGCCAGATGCTGAGGACTGCTGAATGGCTGCTCAGTGGGAGTTGTGGTTGCTCAGCACCTCCAAAGACCTGGCATGTATACTCGAGCCTGGACTTTGCTTATCATAAGAAACAAATCCAACCATCAGTCATGCAGGGTGTGCTTCTCTCGCTGCTTCATGAGCTGGCCTGGTGAAAATTCCTGGTGCTTACTGAAAGCATCATCTGATGTCACTCGACACCACAGGGGAAAATATAAATCAAACTGTAAGTATTCAGCACTCTCTCAGCATTGGCCTAATGTGATTAATGTAATCTGAGGTAAACACTTTAGTTATTCCTTATTACTGCTAGAGACCCAAATCAAGGGTTGGGACTTGTTATTCTAGGTAATGTGGAAACAAGCCCTACCCATAAGATCTCCAAGATCCTGGGCACAAGCTTGACAACAGTTACCTAATAGCAGTGGACAGACACAATGAAGTGTTGAATCTGAACCATCTGAAAGGCATGTGGCAAGGGCTGTGCCATGCTCAGCAGAAAGATTTTCTCTGGCAGCGGAGTGGGGCTGCAGTAACAGGGAGAGAAAGGCAATACAGGATTAGAGGGGTCGAATGCCCAAATTCCACTGACACTGAGGAGACCTGCTTCTGTTTTCTACCTTTCAGAATCACCTCCTGGTTCAAAAAAGTTGTTTTGCAAAAGTCTACAGATGAAATCTTTGTCTCAGATAATCCCAGCACACTGTATAACTCTGAGTTGTGTGGGTTGCTGTTTCAAGGGTGGAAATGGACTTAACAATGTGGACAGAGTTGCTCCTGGCACCTTTTGATGGTCTCTTGCCTCATATGAGGATAGAGTGCCTCAGTCACTGCATGACTCAGAGCACAAATACTAAAGTGTCACAGGTGGGAAAACATAAATCTAAAAGCCGAGGAATGTGGCGCCATTGTCAGTTTTGCGCTTGCTTCACTCCCAGGCCAGGTGTGATGGCAAATGATTGCTCTTGGAAAGGCACACTGAGGTAGTGCAGACTGGCAGCCTGCTGAGTCCAGCAAGGTGCAGGGAGTAAATGCTTCATCAAGCCAAACCCAGCAGGAATATGTTGGAGCTCCAACATTGTTTTGCTGACACAGGAAGATGTCATCACAGCAGAATATGAAGGAGTTAACACATTATGAAATACAGTTTTGGCAGTGATGCAGACAAAGACTGTTTTGTTTGAAATGCAGCACCAGCAGTGTTGGTTAACAAGGTAATGCAGTCACCTTGCCAGTTTAAGTCATTACATTGTGCTTTTTTTCCTCTAACGTGTTAGGTCCAAATCCCATGAAACAAGCTGCTTAACTTTAAGCCCATAGATAGTTCTTTGCTTCAGAGTTAACCTTAGTTTAACGTGTATTTCTGGATAGTGGCTGGTTAGAATAGCCAGTAGAAGTGCTAAAGGAACCCCGTCTGGCACAGGAAGAGAAATGACAAGGTAACAGTGTGGTTTTAAGTAAAAAAGAATAAAAATACAGGAAATTATTTTTTTAAACCTCTCGACAGTCCTATTCCTTTGCAGGGTGAGAAGTGAGGAGGGCTGTCTCATGCCTTCTTACACACACTACTGAGGGCTCAGTGCACAAAATTGCACAACCAGTTTCAAAATTACTCTCAGCTAGTCCGGGCACTCTGACTGTCCTTCCAAAAATAAAAGGCAAAATTTTCATCATCACAGAGGACTAATAAACCACCTATGCTCCTGCATCTACCAAAATCAAGAGAGCACAGAATCCCTTACAACTCAGAAAGTCTAGCCATGTATTTACTGCTGACACCTGACTTTTGTAATTGTGTTGAAAGGTCTGCATTCAGCACTTTCCAGGGCTGAGAGGCAGACAGTCTGTAATTGGGACTCAATTAGTTACCTGCCTTTTCCGCTGAAGATCTGGCCCCGTGGGCCTGATTCTTTACAATACTTTTGCACAAGCCTGGGAGGCCACCCTTCTCACCAGCATTGCTGAAAATGGACTTTTGTATTCAAGTGGGCAGCTGTTTCTCCTGGATTTTTTTACCATGCTTGTGTTCTCATTAAAGTACATGATAAAGTTAGCAAGAAAAAGCTATATTCTTTTGCAAGATCCTTGTCCATAAAGGTCCTTTCTGAGCCCCGTATTTTGCAGTGAGCAGCAGTGAGTGCCTTGCTTTGAAAATATGAATCTAAGTCAAAGATTAGTCCACATTTCAAATATTAAAGCAGATTCTCAGATACTGCTCCATTGGACCAAGTAGGTCTATTCCAGTCTAGGGCAACTGAAGATCTGGGTCTAAAAAAGGAGCTACGAACTCTAATTAAATATAAATAAAGAAACAGAGAGCTACTTTTTTCATACCTCCATGATGCCTTGTTTCTTGGTGACATAACACTTAAATAGGTAGTAACTGGAATGAAGCCCAGTAGCCAATTTATACTTAACATACCCTTAGTTCTTACTAATTCCAGTGGTACACATTAACACTAAGCACCCTAGAAAAATACTTAGGAAAATTATCCATCCCATGCTTCAGTTCCTCACAAGCATCCCTGCTTCATTGCTTGATCCTGGATATGTCTGTTAGCATCACTGCTTTAGTAACTTGCTAATTTAGGACAATATTACAAATGATTTAGACATGTTAAAACTCAGAGACACTGCTCTGTCATTTTCCTTCTATAGGAAAGGATAATATCTATCTTGATATTAAATCATTTTCCTGAGATCATGCTGAAAGTCCTCAAATAAGGTGAAACCCTGCACAGAGAAGGCTTGCAGTATCGTTAATTTTAAGAATGTACAATAATGTATGTGCATATCTAGGAATATAGAGGAAAAAAATATTCTTGTATACTGCAAGTTAAATTGTGGTTTTAATGATGAAGGCACAAGGCATCCCTTAGCTACCAAATCACCCATTTTTATATAGTTTATCTTTAAAAGGATTTCTGATACTATCACAAAGCCAGTCTTCATTCTCTGCCAAAGGGACCTGAAAACACTGGAACTAGTAAAATATTTCTGCATATTATACTGGTCTGTTAAATAGTCAACTAATTTAAAAATAGTAATAATACCTGTGATTGGCAGGTACAGCATATCATGTCCAGATTCCTTTTTTTCCTGTAAGCATAGGATACTTATGCAAACAAAATCAGAATTTGTCCTATTGTTTATTTCCTGTTCTTGGACTGAGTGAAACCAAAGTGAAATAAATATTAAAAGACTTTAAAGGGAGAGAAAAAAAAAAAAAAACAAACCAACAAACCAACAACAAAACCAACAAAAAAAAAAAAAAAACATCCAAAGCAGATTTCATGACAGCAGAACAAGTATCATTTTGAGTGGCACTGCACTGACAATAACTTTTGGCTTTGGTCCACATCAATCTGGAGGCCCAGCTACACAAGCCAAGCTGGCTCAGGATCACTTCTAAACAGGCAGCTATCACCTTTGGTACAATAATATTCCAGAGGTCCAAATCAGGACTAAGCCCTTTGCACAGGTGTGACACACTCACCCAGCATAATCCATCCTCTGCCATTGTCTGTGGCAAAAGTCACTCCGACTTCTCTGGCGTTAGAAGTCTGGCTGTCTTCCCCGAATTTTCATGCTCCCTGCCTTTTCCCCTCTTCCCCACATCATTCTGTTTTTCTGCATGTTGTGAAATCTTAAGGATTTTAATGAAATTCATCTTTTCCTCTTCCACTTGTCAATCTTTCCTTCCTTTACAGACTGGTTCTGAACCATCTCCCCAAGGACGAGTGGAGGAAACTCCCGTGAGCAATGAGAGGGGTGACGAGCCGGCTCGTCATGTCTTCTCCTTCTCCTGGTTGAACTCACTGAATGAATGATGACTCACTCTGGCTGGCTTCTGGTGTGCTTCTCCTTGGAGGGACTGCGAGCGCAGACAGCCTGGCTGTCATCAACAAAGAAACTGGCCTGGAAAGGGACATCCAAGCAGGTTTCGTTCCCAAGAACACAGCTGACCTCCACATCGTACCCAGCCCTTGAGATGACAGTCCTGAGAGGGATGGGAGCATGGGGACAAATTACTATACTGTATTGTAGTCAGAGTGTTTTCCAATAATTTCTTGTTTCCAAGGGGAAAATAGCATCCCTACAGCTGTAGGCTGAACACTGCTAGCATTCTGTTACTCACTTTTTGGCATGTCCCTGTGTAGGTGTAAATGCTTCACCAATGTAGTTAGCTAAATGCTGGTATGATATTCACTAGTAGCATCCTTTGCCGAAACAGTGTTTCTCCTCAGTACCCTCCTGCGTCCCCGCTCGTCAGTGCTGTTGACTTTAGTGACACTATCATGCCCTTGGCAGCCCCAAGTCAGGGTTGTGTCTAAGCACCTCCCTACAGTCACTCGTAGTCCTCACGGTACCGGTGCCTCCCTGGCTGCAGAGACTGAGCATGTGAGGGGAGAGGGAAGCTGCCATTTCTTCCTTTGCACTTGCTCTTCCTGCTATGCCACAACAGATGATGCTCACAGAAACAGGTTATTTGTAGGGAAGGTGCCCAGCAGCAGGATGAGGAAGATGCACACGCAGAAAGCACTGGCCAAACCCCCGCACATGGATGCAGGACTCAGCTCTGAGCGTGTGGAGCAGATGCTAGAGTACTGCCTGCATCTGTCCAGCTGTTATCTGTGTCTGTGTCTTCTCAGCCTCCTGCATGTGCAGGAAAAGGTGCATGTTCTTGCATGAAACCAGGATGCGCTGAGGCGGTCACATGTAGTCATTCAAGGTTTAATTTGAAGGCCCCATGGTGCGTTGTAGAAAAGGCAAATGCTGAATGTCCTGTTCCATGTGTGTGGCAGATGTTGAGCCATCTGATAATACTAAATTTGTGTCTTAAAAGAAGCACTACAAGTTGTACTGAAAGTGACACTGCAAGTTTTGTCACTGGGGACAGAGATTGGCAGGTTGCCAGGCGTGCTTCATGCCACAGGGGACCAGGGGTCAAGCTCTGTGCTAGGGTTAAGTACGGATCTCTCCAGGACCCCTGATCCAGGCCCTAGATCCACCGCTTTGGCGGGGGCCTGTGTTGAGCCATAGGGCTGCACCGCACCCCAGGAGGACTGGGGAGCTGGCAGTGCAGATGCAACACAGCGCCTGGTTACCAGGCTGCCAGGGGTGAGCCCCAGTCCTGGCCATCCAGCACTACCAGGGCTGTGTCACAGCAACCCTCATTTCTACCTGTTTCCCCTGAAAAACGCTCCTGTGAGAGAAGTTTTGGAAGGCTGCATAGGCAAGCTCCGTGCAAAGCTTCGAGACTCTCACAGCCCAGAGCGAGGGCCGCTCCGCACCACCACCACCACCGCATCGCCTCCGGCTGCTGGAGCAGCTGTGCCCTGGGATATGGTTTGGGCTGAGGGATTTCCTATTTTCTCCCAGTCGTCCTGGAGGATTTCCCCCAGTTCCTCCCGGGAAGTTTCTCCACACTCACCGCCACCTCCCCAGCGCCCCCGGGAGGGACACGGCTTGGACATCACCGCTGGGACGGGGGGATCGGGAGCGGGGAGAAACCTGTCCTTTTGGGGTGCTGGGAGGACGAGCAGAGCTAGCACGGAAAGAGAGCTAGAACACAAAAGAGATGCAGGAGCACCTCACCGGTTTCCCATCCCTGCACTCTGGCAGGAGCAGGCTGCCCGGCCCCGGCCGCAGCGGCAGGAGCCAGGGCTCCCCCTCGGGGGGCTGCTGAGGTGGGAGTCGGCAAGGCTGGGGGCGACCGACGGTCCCCCGCCACCCCCCCACACACCCGTCCCCGTCCCCAGGAGCAGCCTGGGCCGAGGGCGGCGGCGTGGGCAGCCCCTGCCTGGGGCCGGCGGCACGTCGGGGCGCACCTCTGGGATAGCCCGCAGGGATGGGGGGTCCCCGGGACGGACAGGGGAAAAACATCTCCCGGGGGTGATTTTAGGGCTCCCTGCAGGTTCTGGGTGCTCGCGGGTGCCCCCCCGCCCCGGTAAGCGCTGAGGGAGGCAGAGCAGCCCTCAGGCTTCTAGGCAAGAAAGTCTATCAAACCATCGTTACTTTGCAGCTTTTATTAAAAATATAAATATTAAACATTCTCTTACACAACAAAATCGACCGAGCGCTGAAAAGATGTTTTATTGTGAAAATGTTTACAGGAAAAAAGTGGATTTAAAGTAGCTCACAGAGATTCCCCCTCCCACCTCCCTGCCCCCAGCAGAAAAGTTATCTGTCTTCTTGGCACCATTTCTTCCAATGCTCACACATCCCTACGTAGCGATGGCACTAGAATAACTGGGAAATGGAGAAATAAATAAAGGTAGGGGAGGTTACGAACGACACTCGTGTTTCTGCACTTGGTACACGGTTGTGCATGCTAATCAAGGGACAGAGGCTGTTCGGAGTACACCCTTCTAGGTTTAAAGCTATATAAAAATAAAGAGATGACATCAGAGCAGCACTATGGTACATCGGACGGTGTAATTATTCTTGTGCTAACTGCGGAATCTCTTTGGCAAGGCGGGGAGGGGCCGTTTCATTTCCCGATTATCTCCATCAGTTTCCTGTTGCTGTGAGCTTGCTGCGCCAACTGCTCGGCTCGGGCCATCTCCAAGACTTCTCGCAGGAGGTGGAAAGTCAGATCCAGAGAAATAGGGGGCTCCTCGGATCGCTTCTCCCTCTCCACGGCCTCACCCTCGGCTTCGCCCTCCTCGGGGCTCCCCAGCGAGCGCTCGGGCAGCGGCTGCAGCTCTTGCACCGCCGCCCGCAAAAAGTTGCTGGCAGGGGCTTCGGGCTGTAGGTGGCTGGTGCTGCTGGAAGAGGCGGGGAAAGAGCCAACGGGTCTCTTGTTGAGGTTGCCCAGGCGCAGGAAATACTCTTCTCCCATGCGGAGCAGGACGGGCAGAGTTTGCTGCTGCTGCTGCTGCTGCTGCTGCTGGAAGAAATCTGGCTGGTGCAGAGCCCCGGGGGCGGCTGCCGGGCTCTTGCTGAGAGCTCTGCACTCCTGGCAGGGCAGGAGGGCGACCAGCAGGATTCCCGTGGAGACCAGCAGCGGGATCTTCATGGTCGGGGCCCAAACCTGCGGGGCAGATGGGGGGGACGTGGGGGAACAGGGTGTTACAGAGCCTGTCTCTTATAC